GAGGGGTACTCAGGCATGGGGGGCTCTCTGTATTTGGGGGGTCCCTGGGCATTGGGGATCCCTGGGCACTGTGGGGTCCCTGGGCATCAAGGGGTACCCGGGCATTTGGGACCTTCTGGGCATTGGGGCATCCTTGGACATTATGGGGGGATTCTCTGGGAATTGAGGGGGTCCCTGGGCATTGCGGGGTCCCTGGGCATTAGGAGGGGACCCTGGGAACTGGGGGATCCCGGGGCACTGGGGGGGTCCCTGAACATTTGGGGGTCTGTTGGAACTGGGAGGGTTCCTGGGTTTGGGGGGTCCCTGGGCATTGGGGGGGTCCCTGGTCACTGTGGGATCCCTGGGCATCAAGGGGCACCCAGGAACTTGGGGCTCTCTGGGCATTGGGGGGGTCCCTGGGCATTGACTGGGGGGGGGTCCCTGGGCATTGGGGGGGCCCCTGAGTGCCCACCCAGGGTTGTGTCCCTGGGCATTTCGGGGTGACAGAGGTGACAGGGGACGCAGGCAGAGCCACCCTCTGCCCGGTGCCACCTCAGCGCTGGCTTTGGGGACAGAGCTCGGTGCCATCTGCCCGCTGCGGTGCCCTCGTTATCTCTGTCCCGTTAATTATCAGAGCGTGGTGCCCGTGCCTGGAGAGGTGCCCGCCGGCCGTGCCAGCTGGGCCGTGCCCCAGCAGGGATGGCACCACGTGCCACTCGTCCTGTCCCTGGAGGTGACCCGGCCGTGCTGCTGCACCAGCGGTGCCCACCTGGCCTCTGGCCTCGTCCTCTCCTTCCTCATCCTCCCCGGGACACGGATCCTGGGAATGGACCCCGGGAGTGGCACTGGAAATGGCACCGGGAATAGCACCGGGAATGGGACCACGGGACCCGAAATAAAAACTGAACTGGGATTGCCCAAACTGGGCTGAACTGGGATGAGCAGAGCTCATCTGAGACTGGCCAAGGTGGGCTGAACTGGGATGAAAAGAAGTCGGGTTGGGCAACCTGGGCTCAATTAGGCTGAGCTGAGCCAAACTGGGATTGGTCAAACTGGGCTCAATTAGGCTGACCTGAGCCAAACTGGGATTGGCCAAAGGGAGCTGAACTGGGATGAAAAGAACTGAACTGAGACTGGTCAAACTGAGCTGAACTGGGATGAGCTGAGCCAAACTGGGATGGGCCTAGCCTGGTTAAGCTGGGCTGAACTAAACCAAACTGGGCCAGGTAAAACCAGGCTGAGCTGAGCCGAACCAGGCCAGTGAAGCCAGGTTGGGCTGACCTGGGTTAAACCAAGCTGGGCTGAGCTGAGCCTGCTTAAGGTGGCCTGAACTGGGCTGAGCCCAACCAGGACACTCTGAACTGGGCCGAGCCCTGTTGGACCAAGCCAGGCCAGTGGGGCTGAACTGCTCTGAGCCCAACCGGGACACGCCAAACTGGGCTGAGCCAAGAACTGGGCTGAGCTGAGCCTGACTGGACCAGACCAGGCCAGTGGGGCTGAAGGGTTCTGAATCCGACCCAAACCGAGCCGAGCCGAGCTGAGCTGGGCTTAGCCTGGTTGAGCCAACTGGTTCCAGCAAGACCCGACTGGTTCCGAGCCGATCTGAGCCGAGCAGTTCGGACTGGACCAGGGTCCGACCGGACCCGAGCGGTTCCGATCCGAGCAGACCCGCGCCGAGCGGTTCCGAACATTTCCGATCCTACGCGAGCGGACCCGAGCGGTTCCGACCCGACCCGACCCGACCCGAGCGGTTCCGATCTGACCCGACCCGACCCGACCCGCGCCCCCCTCCCCTGAGGGGGGCCCGTGACGTCACGGTTGGGGCGGGGCCTCGCGGGGCCGCGCGGCGCGCTCCCGCCGCCGCCCC